ATCTCAAAGATCTTACAGAAAAATAGGGGATTGCCAACAGTCTAGTCTAGTGAATAGGAAGCTTAAGCGAAGACGTTTTTGAGCTATGCACGTCAACCGGAAGTACGTTTTTGAGCTATGCACGTCAACCGGAAGTTAAGCCTTATATATATATGAAATTTGTATTGCTGAGTTTCTTTTCTCTTATAAAGAAGATCTACCTGAGAGTTTAAACCAAACCACTGTCCAATGATTCAAAAAGTCCACTTCCGGTTGACGTCCGTCGCTCAAGAATGCTGATTCTTAAGCTCCCTAGTGTGGACATAAGTGACTCCACTGATTTCAATCAAATCAAATCTAATCAAGTCATGTATTTATTATGTAAAGGATACAGAAAAGGAAACGTCAGAGGTTATCCCTATCGAGGACACTCCCTGCAATTATCAACAATTTCATATAGCGGGCGTTATGTACCTACCGGCTTCCCTCTGGCTTCCTTCACTGTAAGCTCAGTTGGATAGAGCGTTGAGTCTGTTCACTTTATCGCTGAGACCAGACCTTAAAATTCGGTCAGTCGTGGATTATTTCACGTTCACTATCAACGGCGAAAATTGAAAACAAAAAGTATACGTCTACCAAAAGCGCATTTTAAAATTTCATAGTTGACTAACTTGATATAATTTACTTTTTTTAGCCCGTGTACAGCCGCCGCCTCCCCTCAGAAAAAATCGGAGAAGGGGCGTTCTCCGATTTTTCCCGAGGGGAGAGGGCGCCGGGCTGTACACAGGCTAACTTTTTATTGATTTTCATAGGTTTTGCAGTATCTGATGGATTTTGATGCCACTCATTGCATCTCACTGCCTGCCTCAGAATTTCGTCTTCCATGGGATGAGCAGTAGTGGCTGCTGTTATAGTTAACCCTTTTAAGTCCCAAGAGGGACCAAAATCAATTTTCTCCCCATGTTTTACTGCGCAGTTAAGAGAAAAGGTGATGAGAATTAATATAGTTATCACCTAAAAAATTCTTTGATCTTTTGCCAAATTCTTCTAACTAACTCTTTAAGGAAATGTGTAAAGATCAGTGTGGAGAATTTGCATGCGGATACTGGGACTTGAAGGGGTAACAGGCTTCCTTCGACTCCGTGACAAACAAACAACATGATTGTTCCTAACCGCTTATTAGCTCGTTTCTTTGTTCTTGACCTCCTAAATAAGCTCAGCTATATGTCATGTCTGGCAGCCCTTTGGAAACCAAGGAAACAAGGATTTATGAAGGGTCGAGTTTTTTGTGTCAGCTTATCGCGACAAGTAGTAGACTGCGAGTAGACAGACCCTGTTCAGCCTCGTCCCCAGGCCAGTTGGCGCTTCCCGAGTGCTGAGCAAATTTTCTCGACAAGCTTGACAGGCGACGTGAAATCCGAAATCGCTGAAGACGGCTGGGAACGAGGCTGGGCGCTGTTCTTTTTAGCCCGTGAAGCGAAATTCGCTCGAGAAAAAATGGCCATGCGCTCGACTTTAGAGCAAGGTGCTCTAGAATTTTAGTGTCATCAACGTTGTAGAAAAAGAAGGGACTGCTCGCAAACTAGACAAATTACTTTTTGTCCAGTTTTTTTTTTATGTATAACTTTTAATAGTTTTAAATTATTATCGAGGCAGTCTCTCTTGCTTCTACTTAGCTGAATTAACGAACAAATGGAAACATGGCCTGCGAATACATTGGTTGCCTCTGGTCGCCTTCTGCCGTTAGGAACATTAGGCGAGCGAAAAACAGATAATTGGATTGAAGAGAAATTTGCGCAGTATCGGGTCATTATACTAGTCAATCTTTAAAAAGGATATTTAAGATCATAGTATAAATCTTGTTTAATCATAGTACTTAGTGTTTTATTTAACTCCAATTAATCTTAGCTTTTGTGGAATTTGGTTGTGAAAATTTACATCAGTGGAGTTTTAATAGACTACTTACTCAAAAAATATATACCTGAGTACAATCTTAGAGCAAATAAACTGAAAGTGATGAAACACTTATTAAATTGTACGGTCTTTGTTCAGTGTAAGGTGAAGGGAAACGTAAGGGTGCTTGCACCCAGTCTCGTCTCTAATACGCAGCCATTTTCGTATCCAAACCTGTCGTTTCTCTTGGTCACGTTAGGGGCGTAGCTACCTGTACGCACGGTACGCACGTGCGTTCCTGAAAAAACCGAGGGTAAAAAAAAATGAAATAATGAGATACAAAAGTGAATAATGATAAAAAAGACCAAAGGTTAAGATAGACAAAAGTTTGTTATTGTAAAAGCACAGTTCGGCTCAATTCATTTAACAACGGACTGTTTGATTTTTCTTTTTGTACACGAATGTCCGCTTCCAGAAAAGAGACGTGTTACATTGGTGGATCGAATCTTCATTGGTACCGTATATGTACATATATACATGTATACATAGATATACATATATGTAACCAAAAAAGTTGCCTCGCAAGAAGCATGAAACTCAGAGTTGCAGTAAATGTTCAAATAACCTAGCTCTTGGAGTATAATTATACATATATGTATATACACTCGTTTTCAAAAAGGTTGACATTTCAAAAATATATATATCTTTTGTTTCTCTGGGCGAAACAAAAGAAAAAACAAAAGGTATATATATTTATATATATTTCTAAAATGTCAACCTTTTTGAAAACGAGTGTATATATATACATGATGTATACATATACATACATATATACATATACGTATATGTACGTATATATACATATATATGTATCAAGCATGAGACGCAGTTTTTCATCTCCAAATGAAACACTGAGAAGAGAGTTGAAAATCAGACGCGCAGGGGAGTATTTTTGACGAACTTCGAGGTGTTACATCTGGTGATAAAACATTAATTCAAATGCTCGATGTTAAAATACGTCTGAAACAAATGATTTTAGGCGGAGAAATTAACAATGCAAAAACAAGCAGTTTTTCATCTGATTTCCAAACACTCATTAAACATTTTAATGTTTAAAATTTCCTTTAAATTTTCTTTATGAATTATTAATGAGTTTGAGAAATTAAGAGAAACGACGGGAAGAGCGCCAATAGGCGTCTCTGTGCGTTTGAAAACGTAGCCTTGAGTTATGAAAGCGATTGACGTGCTTTAGTCAGTAAACTCAAAAAAACTTTTTCATATTACTTAGAGACTTCATTTCATATGCAGAAAAACGTTTAGGCTTGACATTACCTTTGGGGACATTGGGGGGCGGGCGGAGGGGGAACCAGGGGCATTTGGTGAGTTGTACGTACCTCTGTAAAAATCCTAGCTACGCCCCTTCACGTGGTAAAAGAAGCGAGGAGTGGGCGCTGTAGCCAAAATTTAGCCAGCGAATACAGCCGTCTCTCCTTGCTCATCGCCACTAGGGAAGTTCTAGTTTCAGTTCCAGTTCCAGTTGCAGTTTTCCACCATTTATTTCAAAATGGGAGTAATTTCCACTTGAAAGCCACTTTCATTTTAACTGTGAAATGTGTGTTTTGTGTCATAAATAAAAGCTAGTAAACTGGACAATTACTAAACTAAGCAAAGCCATGAAGAAAAGCTTTATTTAGGCTCTTTTGCGGTGCATATGACATTAAAAATGTATGAAAAGTTCACGTGTTGGCTTTTCCTTGTGCCATGCTATTGAAGTCTTCAACTGCTTGGCTTTGTCGGCTTTAAAGCGATGTTATTCGCCATATTTTCGCCAGTCAAATCCTTTGGCTGATTTTCTATCTTATTCCTTTTTCGGAAAAAAACGCTTCCTTAAAAATTCACGAAAGTCTTTCATCTGAGCGAAGTAAATTATGACGTTTAACAGAGGGTTTAGAAATGCTATACTGCCAGAACCATAACGTATCATATAGTCAGTTGAGAAATCACGTTGTGGTTTAGCAATCTGCGTATAAGCTATATTGACTACAAAGAGAGAGAAGGGAAAAATAAAGGCGAATGTCAGGGCTATAAGAAGAGATATTCCTTTGATTCGTGTGGCTCTCAAATGAGCCTTGAACGCATTGTTCATATTACAAGAAAGTTGTCTTTTACGCTTTATCCATACAGTTCTGATTAAAGATACATTAACGTATATGATAAATACAGTGGGAAGTAGGAATTGTATTGGGAAGAGAATAAGTGTTATTTTGAACGGATAGAAAAGCTCAACATTTCCACATATGACAGTGTAATGAGAGTCGTTAAGGTTGACTCGTATTCCATCGTACGCGGCTGCGGGAAACAGCATCACAAGAATTCCTAATAACCATGCTCCTATAATCATTTTCCGCACTGTCGAGACACGAAATGTTCGTGGGATAGGGCGAGTTGACAAATACTTCTCGAGACTTATCACTACTAGAATGTTGATCGTGATGACAGGAAAGACGAAGTTTAGGTATCGAACTATCTTACAAGCCCAGCCGCTTTGGAACACATCGAACGACATCTGCAAACAGACAAGAGGCAAGGATGCCGCACAAGAAAGCAGGTCTGACAGGCAAAGACTTCTTACATACATGGTTAGATTCTTCGCAAAGGAGTGTGCCTGTAGTGGATTTGGTTTGGGCTTTTTCCACAAAAAATAAAGGATGAGACAGCAACCTACAAATCCAGTTCCGCCAAGAAAAGCCAGGAGGAAGCAGAGGACGTGTTTTGCCGCGTATGGAGCAGGAGTAAAGACGTAAATGGTGGGACCAGTTGTTTCTGTATCATTGTTAAAAGATGATCTATTCCAAGTCGCAGTGGTAACAAGCCACGATGTTTCGTTATACATGTCAACCTGTTAAAAGAAAACATTTTCATTAAATTATTTTCGATTCGAAATTTCATCTGTTCTAAGCGAACACAGTGAGGTCAATTTATTTTGACCGTTTATTTTTTAGGTAACCGTACTTGTGCTATACCCAATTTCTAAAACTTTAAACTTTTTTTTTTGACAGAAAACAACATCACACTGAGAAAGGTGTTTGGCCCCTCTTTTCCAATCATAGTTCTCTCAACACTAGTGTTTAAGGGTGTGGCTAGACTGACGATAAAATTTAATGGGGTTTTGTAGAGTTGACGCTTCCATAGCAACACAGCAACGTCACTTCTACTGATTTTATTCGTCAGTTTTTCAGGGATGTAGACCTCCGTGTTACATTCAGTTATCTTGAGTTGTGCCGAGGATTTAAAATCATTTTTTAAGGATGATTTTTCAGAAAATCTGCTGTTGCAGCGTTTGAATGTTAGAAAGAAACGACTTATAAACAATTTTTTTCCAATTAAAACATACACATGATACAGGAGAAATATTCTTTAGTCTCGAAATGTTTATTCAGATTTCAAGTATCGCCGTTTACATATTAAAAGTGAAAGAAATCACTACATCCCGGTTTCAGTTTTATAAGCGTTAGTAACAACAAATTTCTAATTACTCTAAGAAAAATAGACCTATATAGAAACACAAAAAGGCTAACATATGGATTTGCATTCTTTCAAGAAACAGCTGCTTGTTGATTACGTGTCAGTTTTTCAGAACAGAGCGGAGAATTAAGAAATCTGCTACTTCAAATTATCTAGAAGGAACTCGAATAGAAAAAGAAACCGTTTAGCAAACGGATTTGAGTTTAAGAAAGAACACTTGTACATAAAGAAAAAAACAACTTCTCTGTCGGTTTTTCTGCAAAGCATTTTTTAATTTAAGTTAAGAGTTGAATTAAAAAGAGGAAATTTGGATGAAAAAACGGATTTTCCTTTTTTAAAGAATCACCTGCCTCCTAACGTAGAAAGACGAAAGTACTTCTGTTAGTTTTTCTACAAGTTAAGAAATTACAAAACCAGCCAATTAAAATTAGAGACGAACAACTTGGATTTGGAAATACGGTAGCTTCCTTTAAGGCCTGCATAGGACCTGATAATGAATTACATGATATAGCTAGAAATTCAAATAATAGCATGGCCAATTAATCTTTTTCAAAATTATTTTTGAGGAAAAATAAAATACACACACTTTTTTGCATCTTACAGGGCACTAGCCAAAAAATAAAATTTCCTGTCGACTTAACGTGTAAAAGGCAAATTTGATGTCTTTCATTATAGCTTGATCAACAATTATCTCAACCATGGTTAACTTTGTTTTGCCACAGTTTATTTACAGTCAATTTTTTCACCCTCAAAGCCGTGTGTTTCGTTCTCTCTAAATACATAGCCATTTTTATTCCAGAAGGATAATTCTTCTGTTCCAATTCGATTCGCAATATGGCACACGGAGGACCACTTTCTGGATATTCGACCACCAATCATTATTCAATTTAAAAAAAGTAGTTGTAAAAGTGAAATTAAAAATAAGGAGAACCATTTATCAAAGCAAAGACTCACATCAGCCATTTTCCTAATTAGGTACAGTATCTTTTCGTTATTATGTAACTCAAAGCAACGTTGCGTAATAACGAAAAGCTGCTGAATTTTGCCCAGTTAGGCAGCTGATGAAGGTTCAAGACAGCTACTATACTAAGAAAAAGAATTAAACGAAGTCTACATCAAATTTCTCAGGTCTCGCTGTTTAATAGAAGTATACCGTATATTATTTTCAATTTATTTATTTATTTATTTGACTTTTTACGGCACCGATATACACCCAATTTTGCTTTGAAAATTTTGAAATTAAATTCTTCGCTTGACAACGATAACAAACAGAGATGAAGTACGCAATCCAATTTTGATGGCCCCAGTACAGTGCTAGAGTAAATTCCGTCAAGCAGCGCTGTCCTTAAAACAGATAGAGAAAAACGACACAAGGATGGTCTAGCGGTTATTAATAAATTCTTCAATAAATGAAGACTTATCTAAAAGTACAAAATTAAACAACCGGCAAGTACAAAATAAACAGCACTGCAAAATGAAAATCATCGAAGGACAGCTATAGCTAAGTAAATTTTGTTATTTCGTCCAGAAAATAAAAGTGCGCTATCGCAAAGTTTATGAAAGACCGTTTCTTACTACTTACGTCTTTGAAGTGCGTCCTACAAGAAAACCAGTGATATAGGAGTTACTTTGACAGGAGCAGCAAAAATTGAACAGTCCCTAGAAGTGCTTAGCTTTATATTCTATGCATCTAGCTTGCTGTGGAAGATGGGATTTTTTTTTTTTTTCAAAATGAAAACGTGCTTAGAATATTACCCACATCAAATGATGTTGTACACTCAAGGCTGAAAAGACACTAAACAGTTTTCAAACTAAAAACAATTAGATAGCTTACCCGGTAACAATTCTCCAAACATAAAGAATATAACAGAGTTCAGGAAATTGCCGGTTACCCTACAATCCCTGAAAGGCTCTCTTTAGGTATTGAGGCCTTTATAGAGGTCAAGTGTCCGATTTGCGTCAAACGGAGGAAACGTGACGTACATGTGCCGTTTTCAACGCCTGGATGGATATTTTTACCTTATGAAAAAACTGATCAGAAATGTTTTTTATCTAATGTTGTCAGCTACATCAGTGACCACATGTTCCTATAAACCTGTCATTCACCGTTTGCCGTAAAATTGATACCTGGCCTCTCTACCAAAAAAGTTTACAAGAACTAAAAAATTCATAATGTATTAAACATCACTGATCCTTTTTAGCTTTGAAAAGTGCAAGGCTTTAAACTGGCTCTGCAGAGTATTCTTTTTACCGGTAAAACTGTCTTCAGCCGTTCTTCTTTGAAGAACACAAAGAAATCTTAACCAAAGCATACGGTGGACTGCTTGTTGCAAAAATATAAATTTATCCCGTTACTATTTAAAAGTAATAAGAACATACAACCTAGATTTGATACCTCAAAAAAAAAGAGGGTGTGTACACAACGGAAACAAATTTAAAAAGTAAGCAAGAAAGTCAACGCATTTGCAGTCGTATTTATTGATGTAATGCGCAAGCTTGGTTTAGTCGATTTCTCCTTCATTCTCAGATTAATTTCCTCTTTTTTAAATCATCCATACGAAACATGACGTATTTGTGTCAGCTTATCATTACGACATGAAAATTGCACAATAAAATCATTATTGTTAAATTAGTATCATTAATGCCACAGGGATAGTATATTTATGTCACTGTTAACTGAAAATTAGGCACCCAAATCGTATATAGCATGATGTTTTTTTAGATTCCTCTAAGTGACTTAATAATCAGTTTCACTGTTATATTTTTTCTTCGATGTAACATGCGGCTTTTGGTTCACAAAAACGGACAGCTGTCACTCCATGCACTGATTTCCTTCGCTTTTATTTCAGTCTATTTCCAGTGAAAACAAATTAGCTTGCTTTTCTTAAAACTGAAACGTCTGCCAATACAATTTTATGACCCAAGAAAAACTGGCGCCTACAGAAAGCCAGCAACTGTAAAGTTTACAGTGGAAATCACGACAATAAACAGCACAAATATTTTATAAAATTTTATAAATCGAGGACTAAAAAGCTCGAGTTTGATAACCTAGAAGAGGAAAATTTCCAAAACGCATTTTTGTCCACTTTGGCGCCCCCAATTGGAATTTTAAATCGTGAACATGGTTTTTGAGGAAAAGAGTAAAAACCTGAGTACCAGCGAAGAAAAGCGCTCGTCCTCGCATATGTACATACACCGAGTTTCTTCCGTTTGCCTTTGAAATATTGAAATAATTGTTGCTGAAGCCACGGTTGTGTCGGTTTCCGTTGTGGAAACTGTTTAATGTCTTTTTAATCCTGACCAACGTCATTTGGGTATCAAACCAACATTAATACGCTTCCATTTTGAATACAGAAATAAATCGTGGGTGAGGGTGTTTCCCACTTGTCAATGCACGTTTAAAGTATGGAATAAACTAACAGACCTGACTTCAAGGACCTGCTTGCTGTTCATTTTCTGCTGCACCTGTCAAAGTAAGGCTGGGCTAGCCTACTGCTGGGACGCAGTTTAAGAGGGTCTTAATGGGACGGTAGCTTTGACTATTTACCACTAAATTTTAGAGTTTTTGATGATAAAAATTTAGTCCAAGAGTTAAAGTAAGTATTAACTTCCGAATAAAGTAATATTAGCTACCGTGTTTTTGACATTGCCGAAATATGTTAAGATATATGAAAGTTGTAAGGTCTTGCAATGTTCAGAGAGAGAGTTTTTGAGAACATGACCCGTGGCTTTTCCAATAATTAAGAGATTCTTAGGAAGCGAAAAGTCCGTGAAGATCAGCTGAAATAGTAAGATTTGAAATACCTTGAAACGTTTGGACGGGAATCGATGTTAAATTACCATCTTCATTTGCCTCTTTCTCGGCAAGTTCAGGAGATAAAGTGATGTCTGCCGAGTTGTTTTCTTGCTGTTATGTAATGTTTTTAGGCATGCAATGTCTGTTTTCTATTGCTTTGTGGATTTAAGATGAACTTCAAACGCCATCTTAGACAATAATACCTGTACTCACGGACAACTTAATTGTCCAGTCTCTTTTAAGTTTTTGATGTCTAATTGTTTTTGTTTGTGTCAGGGCTCCATTTAAACCAGTACTGCTAAACTGGATGCCCCTTGTTAAATATTGATTTAAATTTAAAAAAATATTAAATAGCTCACCTATTTCTTCTTTGCAAAACGTGTGAAATGCCCCGCCATCTTCTACCTCGTCCCAGGGCTTCTCGGTTGCCGTCCATTTTCCTGGCATTTATGCTGTACTGTCGACGTTATCTTCCACATGTCGCAAACGTCTTCCAAATTTGGTCAACGCTAGCTGGTTATGAAGGAATTAGCCGCGGGATTTGAGCCAATCAGAAAAGGAGAAATATTTTG